GCCACCAGAGGTTCACAAAACCCTCTCCCTCTTCGCATGCAATCTAAAGGCCTCAGAAGTGAACTATACAGAAGTCGCAAAAACCATTTGACCCGCTAGACCGCCTTCAGATTCTAAATGATAAGTGCACACTAGTGTTGAGAGGGTTGCTAACAATCACACCCACAGTCTCATGGCTGCTCTCACAAGGATTTGGAGTGACGACTGTCTAAATTAGACATGCAACCACCAAAAACTTAGAAGCAGAAGTATAAATCGACTCACCTTCTCTTTCTCATTGGCCTCCCGATCGACAACTGAGCCCTGAAAAGGACAATGAAAAAGGGGATTCGGAGACTAGCAGCCACGATGACTAACTCGACTAGCAGCGCAATTAACACCATCACCAATGTCAGCAACTGCTATTAAGGAAGGAATACATTGAAAGCAGTAGCTCTAAAGTGCTCGTAATAGCAAAAAAAAAAAAACAAGTGGAGAAAACGGAGTTGGGTAGTGCGATGGAGGAGTATTCAACAGTAATTACTACTAGCAACCGCCCTGCACTGCTGTTACAATTGCCAAGACTGCTTCACCTTCTGTCGCTAAAATTGGACACTGAATGTCTCTCCAATCTTTCCCTCTTCCCACCGCCACCGTCACCGCCACCACCACCTCCACCTCCACCCAAACTACCTCGCCGCCAGCCCAAACAAGCCCAGTCCAACTCAGCCCCGTTTTGATCCACCCTCCACTAGGCAGCAGTGGAGATGGGAAAAAAAGTTGTGCGCGATAGAAAAAGTGCTTTGAATTGTCGAATTAGGTTAACTTTTGAACTTCACCAGCATGAAAAAAAGAGGTGGAATTATGAATGCGATAAAGGGTAAGCTTGTGATTTGCATCGACTCGTACGTCAAAAATTACATCAAATCATGATAGGAAAGGTATGTGATTTGTCAAAGATGGCAAATGAAGAACCAATGTATTCTAACCTGAGAAAACAAAAAGCTGACAATAGGACTGAAATACAAAACAGCCGTAGTCAATACTAGTTCTTTGGTTAAGATAAAACTTGAGGAATCAAAAACAAATGTTTAAACAGTGAGACATACGATATCGCGATAAATAAGAAGAGCACACTAGATGAAGACAAAAAAGAGTGCAACGCCACGAGTACATTGTTTTCTTCGCCACAGCTTTTACCTTCCATGAACATACGATAGAAGGGAGGACTATAGGCCTATTTTCCGGTTCCCTGTACTCATACATGGAATCGTGAATAAGCATTAATGCTTAAAAATCTGGCTGTGTCATATGACCAATTCTACTTGGATTTTGCAAATACAAACAGTTGTAAAAAATCAGTTTTTTTTTAAATTTCGAACAGGTTTATGCGTGTCGTCAGCAAGTGTACCCAACACTTTCTTCATCGTGAATCGGAGGGAACGCGAAACTACAACCTCCAAGGAATGGAATAAAGAAGATCAGAAGCGAAGCAAGTAATGTATGACTGGCAAATTTATCTATGTGGCTCAACTTCAACAACAATGAAGCCTTGTAAGTGCAACCGATGATTGACAAACTGTGAAAAAGGAAGGCTAAAGGGCAGTGTCCTCGCCACCAGAATGTCAGAGGAAAGGCGAACATCACAGTTTGGTTTGTTTATTTTTCGTAGGACAAAAGTACGCCATGAAACATCAAACCAACCTCCTGGATCCGTGAGGAAAGACGTATTTGTCCTCAGATGAAGAACACTCTACAGCTACCTTATATCTTTTAAAATAAGTCAACAGGTTTAGGGCAAAAGTTAATCAACTGGTGGACACGAGCTTAAGAACATATGGCACGTATTTGGGAGGGGAAGTATCACCATAATAAAAGTAACCATCATCGTTAATTTCGCAGACAAAAACAGTAGTGCCGAGGGTAGGAACTAGAAGAGAGAAATATTAAAGCACGTGTTTCAAGCTCCAAAAAAACCATTGGCCATACAATTCAACTTTGCTGCCGCATATATCAATTAGTCAGGCAGCAGCAAAAAGATATGGACTGGTGTCTATGAAAGCCAACTCACAGAGCATCTGATGCAGGTGATGATGCGGGAGCTATGCTAAAAATGTCAATAAGAGATGGATTTGGAATTAGAATTACCACAGACTGTGCGATGTAGTGATTTCACTCTCTTTTGCAGTGCATATGTGCGGAGTGGAAGTTGAAGGAGGGGATTGATGTAGGCACAAAAGTAATGGCCAGTCACGAAAGAAGCGGTGAGGTAAGCAGTGCAGTGTACCCCACCCAAGCTAGTAGCAACAAAACCTATCAAACATTCAAGACAACTCCTTTTGCTTTCAGAGATATGAAAATCCAAAAGTCTTCTCTACGCTATGCTTAACGCAATAGATTGACCGACCTGTGGTTATCCTGACCGTTTTCGTTACCTCAGTCTAGGCTCATCTTAGATGAGAGTATCCCAACAATCGAAAGAAGTGGATTTCTACGTTCTGATCATAAAGTATATTAATTATTTAACCCGATGTGTCTTATCTACTGAGGATTATTCAAATGTGGAAAAAACCTCCAAA